TCATCATTCCTCCTCAAAAAGGATTTAGAGAAAATGAAGCCTTGTTCAAGGTCATATGGGTAGTTAATGGCAGAGCAAGGGCTAGGACCCAGGGTTCATGACTCCTAGAGGGAACTCCTAGAAGTTCCCTTTTTGGAGCTAGTGAGGTGTATGTACATGGGGTCTCTCAGGCCACTCGTTGGGGAGGAGTTTGGCGGTGTTTAGAGGGCTGAACTCAATGTCCTGAACCAGCGCATACCTGCTTTTATTTGTTTATTTGTGTGTTTATGTATGTGTGGGACGCTTCTAAGTTTTCAGTTTATATCGATTCTTAAGGTTATGGACTTTAAAGCCTGGGTTCAGACTGTGACTTAGCAGTGTCGTTTCTCATAAGTTACTTACCCTCTTTATGCTTCAGTTTACCCGTTTACAAAATGAGAATAGTAATCAACCTCATAGGGCTCATGTAAGAACTGAACAAATTAATACATACGCAGTCCTTATATTAGAGACGAGGACATAAAAGTGCTCGATAATGTTAGTCATGAATATTACCTCATGTATAGGATGGATTTCAACTGCTTTTAAGAAAGTGTAAAAACCACTGCTTTGTACCAAATTTTTTTTCTCTTTGACATTCCCTGCCAATATCCCATCTTTCTTCAAGTCTCTGCAAGCATCCCAAGGCCATCTGTGGTTTGTACCTGCATGGTGTCAGGGTTTGAGCAGCGTGGAGAAGATCATTGGGTGAAGACTCTGGAAAAACAGATTCACAAAGAGATTTCTACTAACCTAATAGTATGAACCTACTCAAGTCCTTTCCCCATTCTGAATGTCACTTTTCCTATCTCTCAAAAGGAAAAAGGACTCATGGACATGAACAACAGTGTGGTGATTGCTGCGGGGAAGGAGGTATAAGGGGACTAAATAGTGATGGAGAACATACAATAAAGATTAAATTAAAAAATGTAAAAAGAGGGCTAAACTAGCTATACTAGTTGGTTCTAATGGGATCTTCCAGCTCCAAAGGCTTCTGTATCCAGCCAATCCTTGTGAGTTTCTCTTCTGTGGTTTCTAAATCCTTTTAACCACAAAGTTCTCACCTTAGGAACACCCAAATTTTCCCGCTTTTCTGAAAGACCACAGTCTCTGCTGGCAGCTGGGAGGGAAGAACACTTATCTATCTGAAGGGTTCAAGACTTCCAAAATATTGCATTCATGGTTATAAACAAGTTGATCTTCAGTCCTGTTTGCCTCCCTGGACTACATTGCTCCCTCCCCTTTTCCTTGCCTCAGTTATACATTGGGCGTTGGGACGCCATTGTCTCCACTGATGTCAGCATTCTTGGCGCCATTTGGGTTCGGTTGGGTTTCATGTTAAGGATCTAAATGTCAATGGGACATGAAACCTGGAGGCTACGTGCCTCTGTCTGTCACTTTTGACCTGTGTTCTCTGTCTTTCATGGTATCCTCTACCACTTCCCATTTACCTAACTTTGAGCAATTATTAGTGACATAAATCACTAGGGAAATTTATTAAGTAAAAAACCTCCTCTGAACCCTCAGTCACCCAATTCTAACCATGCTGGAGGCTTGGAAAGGAGTTTTCAGTGCATTTACTTCTGCATTGAAGTGCTGGAGATAAGGCTGTCAGATTTGATGAGGAAAGTTTAGGAGTGTGTTTCCCAATATTTTGGGCCCTCTGTGTTGATCCATTGGCATTCATGTCCATGTAACATTCCCTAAGTCTTAAAACCAAGCTTATCTCATGACTTATAGCATTGTTCTGGGCCAGCCACTTCCACACCTCTGCTCATGTGGTGCTCCCATGCTGGAAAGTCTCCAGGCAGTCTCCACCATCTCTGCCTGAAAAACCATATCCGTCCTTCAAAGGACCATCTTAAATGTCACCTCTCTCACCTGTAATCCCAGAGCATGGGAACCGAATGGAATCTCACATTCTTTCATTTTTCAGATGTTTTCTGACTTCTTACAATGTGCCAGGTATGTGATAGATGCTAGGTGCACACACACAAACATGAATGAAGATGTGACCTTTGACTTTATGCAATAGACAACCTGAGAGGGAGCAGAATGGCATATAGTATTTCCAATGGTTATTTTAACAGATATTTCTAATACAGCCATAGTTCTTACCTATTTTGGAGTCGATATCAGGATTAGGTTCATTGGTAAGTTAAAACCCTAAGTAATAGTGACTTAAGCAAAACATAAGGATGGGGGCAAAATCTTCAGCTGCTACAGCAGCTCTGTGATCTACAAGGATCTGTTGTGCTACCTAAGAGTCCAATATGACTGCTCAACTGCCAACCCTCACATCTGTATTCTATCCATCAGGAAGGGAAAAGGGAGGGGGAAAAAAGTCCTTACTCTTAAAAGAGATTTCTAATTATATTTAATTGGAAATTAAATTAGAACTTAGTTACAGGGTCACATCTAGCTGCAAGTGAGTCAGAGAAAAGAAGTTTTTATTCTGGGTGGCCTATAACTGGCACAAAATCATGATTTGATGGATAAGAAAGAAGAGGAGAATATATATTGGGGTAAAAAGCTAACAGTTTCTACCATAAGGTCACAAAACAACTTGGGAGGCTGATATAATTCTGAACAATCCCCACCTCCAAAAATATATAACTCACCCACACAAGACTATGCATATAATTTCAGAGAATTCATAGGTGCTGAGTATACAACAGTGTGCATGACACATGAGATCCCTGATATAATAGAAGTTACAGACTAGTATAATAAATGAGGAAATATGTCCTATGATATCAGGTAGTGATAAGTGCTATAAAGAAAAATGAAGCAGGGTAATGGGGCAGAAATGATAACAAGAGAGTCGAGGAAGCCTTCTGTTACAAGGACATCACTGGGCAAAGACCTGAATGAAGTGATAAGCACCATGTGAGTATATGGGAGAAAGACATTCAAACCAGGAAACAGAAAGTTGTAAAGATCCTGAAGTGGAAGTGGGCAAGGGAATCAATAAGGAAGGAGGCCGACGTGTCTGGAATAGCTTTTGTGAGAAATGATAGGAGATGAGATCAAAGAGATAATGGAGAGACAAGATAATTTAAGTGCTTTTAGAGTATGGTAAGGCCTTTGAATTTTATCCTGGATGCAATAGATAGCATTGGAAGGTTTCAGAAGGGGAATGATGTGATAATTCTGCCTGCTGTGTGGAAAACAGACTTTAGGGAGAAAACAGTGGAAGCGGGGAAGCAATTAGGAAGGAATTCCAATAATCCTAGGGTGATATGATGGTGAATGGACCAGGGAGAAAAGTAGGATGGAAGGGTTAAATGTACATTTTTTTAATCTTTTAATATTTATAATTTAAAAGGATATGATCCATTAACATATAAGGCTCTTTCCACCTCATTTGTTCCTTTTGACAACCTCACCTGGAACTCAGGGAAAGCATTATTATCTTAATTTTTAAAAAAGAAGTGAAGGACCATAACTTGCCCCAAATCTCAGAGTTGTGAAAGCTGACACATCCAGCATAATTTATTTAGTGCTAAGTATATTCCTTGGACTGTTTGTTATCTCTTTCTGCTATGAGATCCTGAGATGTTTTTCTTTGTTTAATTTTAATTTTGAAATAATGTCATGCTTACTGAAAAACTTCAACATTAGTACAAATAATTTCTATATATTCTTTACTAGCTTCTCCAAATGTGAGCATTTTCATAATCAGTAAAATTATGAAAATCAATAAATTAACATAGATTTAATGCTACTTGTATACCTATTCAAATGTCACCAATTGCTTTATTAGTGTCCTTTATCTGGTCCAGCATTGCACATCGGATTTGGTTGCCAGGTCCCCTTATTCTCCTCCAATCTGTGACAGCTTCTCAATCTTTCCTAGGCTTTTGTGACCTTGACATTTTTGAAGCATACAGGCCAGTTATTTCACAGAATTTATCTTAATTTGAGTTTTCTGATATTGCCTCACGGTTAAATTCAGTTGGTACATTTTTGTCAAGAATATCAAGAAGTGATGTCTCATTAAGAGTCTCATGGCATCTATTCTGTTACTGATCATATTAAATTTGGTCACTTGGTTAGGGTTTGTTTGCCAGCCCCCATCCACTGTAAAGTTATTATTTTTCCCTTTGTAATTAATGAGTAAGTAGACTTTTTTAACTGACAAGTAAGCTGAGACATGGAGATGTGTAGTAACCTACCCAATGGTATACAAGTGGAAAGTGATGGAGGATCTCTTCTCTAAAGCTTGCAACTACTCTCCTGTTGCACTATATTCACATTGCCTCTTGAAAGATGCCAGGCCTCCCTCCTAAAGGCTTTGCCATGCTGAATTTGGTTTCATTCTGTCCCTCTTAGCTTGTTGAAATTAAGAAAACAAAAAGCTTTGTGGCAGCATTTTCCTGATTTGGGGGTTGAGCTAGTTAGCCACTGAAATGGTTGTGAAAGGAGCTCTCTTCCTCTGGTCCCAGGATCAGCATCTGATAAAGGGCATGGGACCTTCAGAACTCTGGTTCCCTTCCCCTCTCTTTCCACCTGCTGTTTTTATTTACCTTATTGCCTAGGAAAGGCTGGAAAGGCTTATTGGTAGAAAATAAATAGTCCTGATACTCAACTCTGGAAAAACTCATTAGATAAAAAGATTCCTTTTTTTATGTTTGGGGTATGGTAATGGTGAGGGTGATCACCCTAAACCTTTTGGTCTCTGCCATTACAAATCTTTAAAAAAAAAACACTCCTGATGTTTCCCATACGTATTTGAAAAACTCCTTGTGTTCTTTCCTGGCCCTTGTGGAAAAAAAATATATTTGGGCTTAGAGTTAGGAGACACGGGATCTAAGCCCTGACCAGATCCCTTATTGAGTTCTTTTTCTTCTCTGAACCTTAATTTCCCCTTGTATAAAATGGCAGCACTAAATATAATGATCTCCAGGGGTCATATAAAACTTATGGATCCTTATCCTAATGAAAATACCAGTGCCAGTCTGATTTCTCACCCTCTGCAGACGACAACCAGACCTTCGTGGAGACCTACTACGATATGCCACTGTTGATCACTGTGTTTACTGAAACCCAAGAGGTGGTTGTGCCCTGCCGCGTCACTTCTCCTGATGTCAGCGTCAAACTTCAGTTGGTAAGTTGCATCGCTGGGGTCTCAGATAGAGGACTTGTTGCTATCTAGAGTATGAAATATAAAGAGAGTGAGAGATAGTATTTCAGTCTCATTTCTGGTACTTGCTCCAGCTGTGTCATGTCTTCCTCTTTGGAGCAGTATATAGAAGCAGGCATGCTACTATTTTACTGTGGACCAGTATCACCACGGGAGTTTTATAAAAACTAGGGGAAAAGGTGATGGATGCTTAGATGTCCTGTAAGACCCCATGTGGACTGTATGTAAATGCTGTCCATGCCTGCAGGTCTCAGGCCAGAGTGCTTTTCTTAAATAGAAAATGGCGGATAGTTTTCAGAGAAATACACAAGGAGAAGAAAGGGAAGGGAAACCCACCCATTTAGCTTGATCAGTTAAATCAATCTTGGTGATGAATGGAGTAACACATGTTCCTTGTAGATCACCTTCACAGCCACCAAAGCCCTCAGCATCCATAGTTGTGTAACATCACTACAAATTTTAAAAACGATTCATGCATATCACCTCCTTGGAGCTGCACACGTAACTACTCTGTAAAGTGGATAGAGTTGGTTTTAGTATTTCCATTTTACATATGAGGGATCTTAGGCTTAGAGAAAAGGAAGAACTTGCATATGGTCTCTATTTCAGACGGGTCATAGTCAAAGGTAAAAATAGATGTTCTGATTTCCTGTCTAATGTTCCAGCTATTATCCTTGTGGCCTTCTTAATGGTGGCAGCTACCTCTGTTCTCCTCCTGGATGCGCTGTTCCTTTGCTCCCAAGCCCTTTCTCACTTTCATGTTAGGAAAAAGCCGTGAACCTCCCACAGCAACAGGCAAAGATCATTCCACTTTTCTTAGATAGCGGGAGTGTCAGCATTTTCCCAATGCCTTCGGTCAGTTCAGCTGTGAAAACTGAGAGATGGATTAGCCCAGAAATTGTGTCTGGTAGCAACAGCTGATGTGGCAAAGGAAGGTGCAAAAGCCCATGGGCAGAAGAATTGAATCTCTTAAAAAGTTCCACAAGACCTTAGTGTCCATTAGCCACTCGCTGAAGACCACACTATCCTCCTCTTTCCAGGCTTTTCTGCCCCTTGGGTTGTTAGGAGGTTATATACTCAGAGGAGCAGCCCTCAGCGCCATGTTGTCATCCTCCCTCCACTGAACTACCAGCACCCACTCTTCTCTGGGACATTCTTTTGGCTCTTTCTAAAGGGAAAAGGAAGGTGCTCCTTGTCTTTGGGACTTGGTCCAGAAAGAAGCAGTGGCCTGGGGGAATGGGTGGAGCAGGGAGGATGCAGTCTGCTGTAGAGTTTATGTGCTTGGCTGGCCACCTCATCCTTCCTCTACCTAGTAGTGGCCAGAGTGTCCTGGCCCACCCACCAGGCCTCCTTGGTGGGGCTTGGAGTCACTGTGTCTCTTTCCTCTGCTAAAAGGAAACGCTACGTGGGGAAGGGACTGACCTGTCTAATTTAAAACATCCTTTTCTAAAATTAAATCCCAGTAGGCAGCCAGTTTACCTCCAGATGACGTGCCAGGGCATGAGAGTAGAGGCATAACCAAGATTTGCTTTTTCCTAAGGCCTTAGCTGCTTTAATTAGAATAGGCAACCTCATGGTATCCAGAAATCTTTCCCTTCCATTAAAAGGGGATTCAAAGACAACAACCCGTAAAATTTCACATTCTTTTCTAAACACCAACATTTTCCACAGTTCAAGTTAGCTTCTTTATTATCTCATGGTATTCTGAAACAAAAATGCAACTTACTGCTGCCCTTTAAAGAGCTGTAGGCTAAAGACCCCACCTCAACCCTTAGACACCCCTTTCAGCTTGAAGCTTGGCTACTGTGATCTGACAGGTGGATTAAATGGGTGCCCCCACCTTGGCTGGCATAGCTTAGTCAGTTGGAGCAACGTCCCATACACTGAAAGTGTGTGGGTTTGATTCCTGGGCAGGGCACACACTTAGGTTGCCAATTAGGTCCCTGGTTAGAGTGCGCACGGGAGGCAGCTAATCACTGTTTCTCTTTCACACTGATCTCTCCCAGCCTCGCCCCCAAGCAAGGAAAAAATATCCTTGGGTGAGGATTAAAAAAAAGTGCCCTTGGGAAACATATAAGAGGGATTTTCATCACATTGTAAACAGCTCTTGAGTTGGTCTCTAGAATCAGGTCAGTTTCCATAAGCCTACTGAAAGAGAAGTTATGGACTAAGAATGAGGAAACCTAAAGTGTAGGTTGGATAATGATCCTCAGCCAGTCAGAAGACTGAATGTGGATCATTCCTTGTAAAATGCAATAGGTTGTATAAAAGAGAATACTGTATACTTATGATTATTAAGAGTGGAATTAGACTTCTTGTTTGGGTATTTTGTACTTCCTGATCTGCCCTCCTAAGATCCATATAGACGTTTGCATTCCCCTTCTTGTGTTTCAGTCTCATCACTGGATTTCAGTGACTCTCAAATCACAGGTGGAGGAGAGAGAAGAGTGCTCTTTTTCCTAAATTGTAGCTTCAGCAGAAGTAAGCTTTAGTTAAAACCAAACCAACAATATATTCGAGGGAACCAGCAAACCCCTCCCCTCCTTAGTTCATGTCCTTAGGTCATGCATATAAGTTCTTCGGCTTCTCCATTTCCTATACTATTCTTAACATCCCCCTGTCTGTCTATTCTGTACCTACCAGTTATGTTTCTTAATCCCTGCACCTTTTTCCCTGTTATCCCCCTTCCCCCTCCCGGCTGATAACCCTCCAAATGATCTGCTTATCTATGATTCTGTTCCTGTTCTGGTTGTTTGCTTAGTTTGTTTGGTTGTTGTTGTTTTTTTTAGATTCAGTTGTTGATAGTTGTGAATTTGTTGCCATTTTAATGTTCACAGTTTTGATCTTCTTTTTCCTAAATAAGTCCCTTTAGCATTTCATGTAATGATGGCTTGGTGACAATGAACTCCTTTAGCTTTCCCTTGTTTGGGAAGCACTTTATCTGCCTTTCATTCTAAATGACAGCTTTGTGTGATTGAGCAATCTTAGTTGTAGGTCCTTGCTTTCCATCACTTTAAATAATTCTTGCCATTCCCTTCTAGCCTGCAAAGTTTCTTTTGAGAAACCAGCTTATAGTCTTATGGGAGCTCCTTTGTAGGTAACTCTGTGCTTTCCTGTTGTTGCTTTTAAGATTCTCTCTTTATCTTTAACCTTTGGCATTTAATTATGATCTGTTTTGGTGTGGTCCTTTGGGTCCAACTCAGGTGGGATTCTCTGTGCTTCCTTGACTTGTATGTGCATTTCCTTGACCAAATTAGGGAAGTTTTCTTTCATTATTTTTTTCAAATAAGTTTTCATTTCCTTGCTCATTCTCTTCTACTGGCATCCCTATGATTTGGATGTTGCTATATTTGGAGATGTCCCAGAGGCACCTTATACTATCTTCATTTTTTAATAAGAGTTTATTTATTTATTTTTAGAGCAGGAAAGGGAGGGAGAAAGAGCAGGAGAGAAACATCAATGTGTGGTTGCATTTTGTGTGTCCCCTGCTGAGGACCTGGCCTGCAACCCAGGCATGTGCCCTGACTGGGAATCAAACTGGTGACCCTTTGGTTTGCAGGCTGGTGCTCAATCCACTGAGTGACATCAGCTAGGGCTATCCTCATTTTTTTTTTTAACTTCTTTTTTCTTCTTGCTGTTCTGGTTGAATGCTTATTTCTTCTTTATGTTCTGAATTGTTGATTTGAATCCCAGCTTCATCCCCTCCACTGATGGTTTCCTGTAGATTTTCCTTTATTTCACTTAGTGTAGCCTTCATTTCTTCCTGGGTCTTTTTTATTTTGTTGCTGTACTCAATGACTTCTTTGAGCATCTTGATTACCAGTGTTTTGAACTCTGCATCTGATAGGTTGGTCATCTCTGCTTTGTTTAGTTCTTTTTCTGGAGTTTTGTTCTGTTCTTTCATTCGGGCCATATGTCTTTGTCTCCTCATTTTGGCAGCCTCCCCGTGTTTGTTTCTCTGTATTAGGTAGAGGTGCTTTGACTTCCTGTCTTTGTAGCATGGCCTATTGTAGAAAAGGCCCCTGTAAATTCTGTGGGGTGGAGCCTTAGGTAATCACCAGGGCAGCGCAACCTGTTTCACTGCTTTGTGGCTCTGTGTGGGGGAGGGCTTGGAAAGGGGACAATGCCACTGCCTGGCTTCTGGAGGTTTGCCCAGCACTTGCCCTGTGCAACTGGTGACTTTCAAGGTATTGCCCTGGTGCTACATCCCAGAGGGGTCTGTGTATGTTTTAAGACTGTGTGGGCCCTTTAAGTGGAGTCTCCTGAAAATCTGGCATTTTTTCCACTACCCCAACCCCCACTGGTTTTTATAGCCAGAAGTTATGGGGATTTATCTTCCTGGCACTGAAACCCTGGGCTGTCTGGCTTGGGGCTAGGATCACCCCCTCTCAAGGTATCCCTCCTGATTTTTATCTATCACATGTGAATGCGGGACCACCTGTTACGCTGCCGCCCTCTCACCGTGCCACACTGTGACTCCGCGCCTCTCTGTCCATCTCCACACCTCTCACCCATCTCTGCATCTCCCTGTCTCCTCCCTTCCTACCCGCCTGGATGAATGTGGCTTCTTTAAATCTTTAGTTGTCGGACTTCCATACAGCTCAATTTTCTGACGGTTCTGGGTGTCATTTTTTTTGAGGTCTAGTTGTAATTCTTTCTGTGGTTGCATGAGGAGGCAAAGCATGTTTACCTACGCCTCCATCTTAACTGAAAGTCCATTCCCCTACATCTTTACTGCCAGAAAAGGACTGAGAGGAAATCCCTCTCTGACCCCAGATTAGAAAATAATCATAGAGAAGGGTTTTGATCGCCTAACCTAAAATGTGATGGTCACTTCTAGACCAATCACTGTGGCCAAAGAGGCAGAATTTGTATGAGAACGGTGGCTCGCCTACAAACTACATAGTTAAAGCACGTGTTAGTTTCTGTAGTGGTGAGAGGGATGTCAGGACTGGTTAGTAGGAAGGGATAGAGATAATAGCAAGGGGAAGGTCCTATTCTGAGCAGCGGTGTCTAATATAGGTAATGAAATGTCTAATATAGATGAAGAAGATCTAATTTAGAATGGAAGGGAGGAGGAAGGGCATAACAGAGAGATTCTAGAGGTGGACTTTGAAGAAGTGTTTTTTAACCTTGACACTGTTGACATGTGGTGTCAGATACTTCTTTGTTGTAGGATGGGGGCTATCCTGTGCATTGTGGGAGTGCTTAACAGCATCCCTGGCCTCTATCCACTACATGCCAGGAACAACACCCACCCCCATTTGTGACAACCAAAAATGTCTCCAGACACTGCCTGATGTCCCCTGGGGAGCAAAATCCTCCTCACCCCCTATTCTTCATTGAAAACCACTGACGTATATGATCAATTAGATGAATGAGTTGCTTTCTTAGGACTGAGGCTGTAGTTGATCAAATTTAGACACAGAGTCTTAATTTCAACTCTGTAATCAGATTGTGTAATATTTTAGTATCCCACTGTTACTCTGAATTTCTTCATAAGCATGCAATCAACCCAAGGTTTTTTACTTTCCTTGATTTTGGGGTTCGGTTACTTTCTCAACTTTTTAAATTTGTAACTCATCCTATATGTTAGTTGTGTTTCCCTTATTTTCTGCTATAGTCTTTTAATTGTCAGATTCTCTGGGAATGTTACTGCCTGGTATTTAAGTACATTTAGGTATAGTGAAATTAGTAATGATGTCAGGCCTTTTCAAATGGGGCACAATAAAGATTCAGGTGACAAGTGATTTTTGAAAAATAATTGTAAATGTTTTAATTCAAGAGTTAATACTTAAGAACTTAAAAATAACATGAAACTGAAAAGACATGTGATGAGTTTTCAACCTAGGTTTTGTTTTATTCAACAAAAGGTGGTGACTCGTTCAGAGAATAAGAATAGGAAGGCTCTGAGTAGATCTTGTAAGAGAACTGAACCAGGAGTCAGAAAGAGATTGAATCTCAGTGTTGGAAGAGACCCCGGAGACTAAATTCCCACCTGATACAAAAATAATTTTTATAGCATCCTCGACAAATAGGCATCCAGTTCCTGTTTCTGTGCTTTCAGTGACAGAGAGGTCACCATCTGACTGAGCCAAAATGTGTCACTGTCATGTCCACTTATTGGTCCTCATTTTAGCCTCTGAAGTTTTATCTAAAAGTTTAATTCTTTTTTTGTAATATGAATGTTTCTTTACTTGAAAAAATAGATTGCCGAGTACAGTGGTCAAAGGCTTGTTCTTTTTCAAATATATCATTATAATATAATGCCATTCACAGTTTTTACATTGTGTCAAATGTAGTTTCTTAGTAGCTTCTTGAAAATTATTCGTTACTCACTTACACTCATAGAACAACCCAGTATCCAGGCTTATTTGCTAGTCAATACTTAATTCTTCTCACAAGTTCCCAAATAAGAGTTCTTCAAATACTAAGAAAACAGCCACCCCACTCCCAATTAGTCACTAACCCCAACTACTCCTTTCTGTCCTCAAGCGTTCTCTTTTGTTGGGCTAAAAATGCCCTGCTTCTTAGACTATTCCTTATATCACAAGGCTTCCAGAACCATCATAGTTCTTACCGTCTTCCTCTGACCATACTTCAGTTTAAAGATTTTCATTAAAATATGGGGTCCATTCTCATACACCAATAGATATAAATTGGTATAGTCTTGCTGTGATGAACTTTGGCAAAAGATATCAAGTGCCCGGAAAATGTTTGCACACTTTGACCCAATAATTATACATCTAAGGATCTTGTCCAGTGAATAAGCAAAGAGTTAAACATAAAGATAGTCATTGCCACGTTATTTTAAATAACAAAAATTGAAGTTATTATAACATAAATATCTAACAATAAAAGAATGGTTAAATAAATAACAGAATAACCAACATACTAGCATTAAAATTATAATTAAGAGTTTTTAAAAATATGAGAATATGCTAATGATATAATGTAAAAAATTAACAGGATAAATTGTATTTACTTTATAAGTACAGCTATGTCACAATGTATACATACATAGAAAATAGACTGTAAGTACCGATAAATATTTCATTTTTCTTAGTGGCTCTTTCTGGGTTATAAGTCATTATTATTTTTCCTTTATTTTCTCCAATATTTTTGAAAAATGTTCACAATTGGTATGTATTACTTTTATAGAAACCAAAAGAAAATTTAATAATGCAGATCTGTTTACAAATACACCAGATGAGACTAAACACTCAGTCTGTGCTGTTTGCAGCTGGATACCTAGTACCTAGCACAGAGTAGATACTATTAAATATTAAATGTTTGATTGAATGAATAAAAGTACCAGCTACACATGGACTTCACGTAGGCCCCTAAGGTCCTTAAACTCTCTACCATTTGTCCTTACATGAGGCAGAAAGAGCCACCCACGGTGACGGAGTGTCCGTAAATATCAGGGGCTCTGATGAGCAGATGTGGCACCTGGGGACCTGACACAGCCTCTGTGGGTCTGAACAAAGAGATCTCAGTCTTAATATTTAATCCAATAATAAGCAACCAGTTGAGCAAGGTGTCCCCTATGAACTTTACCTGTAAAATGAGAGTAACAATAATATCTACCTCATAGGGTTGAAAAGATTAAATGAGCAAATACAGTTCCTGGCGCATAGTAAGTGTTGTGTGTTTACTGGTATAATTATTATTTGTTGAGTATCTCCTCTGAGCCCAGCAGCGTGCTAATAATCTCTGAGGAGAAAACAAAGGTTAAACAGCACAGACTCAAGTTCAGAGGAAGCTTGGTGGGACGGGGGAGGACAGGCCACTCCTCTGTGTGGCTTCAGAGTAGACCGGTTTGGGCATGATAATGATAACCAATGAGAACTTGACATGTATGTCTTCCTATATCCTCCTTTCCTTGCCACACAGTTACACTCTGCCACGTTCACCTATGCCAACCAAAAGTGGGATCCCCGGAAAGGCTTCATTGTGACCCGACCCTCCTACCACTTCTACAGCAGCATTCTCCAGTGCGTTGCTGAAGTCAATGGGAAGACACACAAGTCCTTCTATCTCCCACAGCGTCTAGGTATGTGATCTTATGTTTTTAGGTTAGGAAATGGGATCCTGATGTTCCTCCTAATCACTTTCTGTTTGTATAAACCTTACTTCAGCTATAATCACTTCCATATCATTTAATAACTAGGGACCCTAAGCTTTTATTTTTAGGAACTGTATGTATCTCAGTAGAAAAAGCCCTCACTAACTTCTGCTACATTTCTCTCTTGGACAGCTTTCAGTTGCCTGATCATTTGATTCATAAAATCAGTGGTTTATCAGTGTCTAGCAATAAATACTCAGCTTTTATAAGGTTATCCTTGCCAAATTGTGAAATGATGGTACATACTGTGGCTAAATAATGGACATCTTGAAGCTTTATATTACTACTGCCCTTGTATAGAATTGAAGACGGACTCCTAAGTCAGGGAAGACCCTTTACTCAGAGAATTCAGAAATGTGCCAGAGCTAGCTACAGAAGGGCTTAACAGATTTAGATCAGTAGGAGGAAAAATTTCTCCATGGAGAGGTTGTTAAGCAGGGTATATAATTTCCTAAGCAGCATTGTAGAGTCCTTTTCACTGAAACAACCTCAAGAACTAGGAAGATAACCCTTACCACTACCAAGCCTGTTGATACAGTTTATATAAAATCTTTTCTAGCTGTTTCTGAACCATGGAATCTTCTGGTTTGGTTTTGCCTCTACCTTTTCCATCTAACAAAGGGAATGAGACATTGAGAGTAATAAGAAGTACTTCAGGTTTCATATATTTGTCTCTTGCCTTCTTTGTCAGTATCATGCCATCTATTTTCCAGAAACCAAGAAAGAAAATATCTCCATCAGATACAACCACCAGAGACTTCTAACGGGAGACACCCTTGTCCTGCAATGTGCTGCAGAGACCACGTTCAACGGACGAATCGATCTGAACTGGGTATTCAATCGGCAAAATGTAAGAACACTGTCCCTGTTCCCAGTCTTCACAGACCTGCCCACATCCTCTCTCCCTGTCATTCCCACTCAGTCTCTACTTTGGGTCAAGGACCAGGCAAAGTGCTTAAGCAGACTAACAAAGCTAAAGCATAAGCAGCCTCTGCCTTGAAGGAAGCCAGTCTTGTGGGGGATTTGCATTTCACTTTGCGTCATATCATGGCTTATTAGTTACACATGCCATGCAATCAAAGTGTAAAAAAAGGGTCAGCTCTTCATAGGGCTTTTCTTTGGCTTCCTGTTGAGCTGTGACAAGTTAGGTTCTTAGGAGTGCTCAATAATATCAATTGAAATTCTTTTCTTTTTTTTTCCTTTCCCACCCCACAGTCCAAGAGAAGACCCAAGATTTATGAAATTAAAAGAAATCTGGACCAAGGATCCTCTGTGTACAAGACCTATAGTAACTTGACCATCTGGAATGTAACTGTGGAAGACAAGGGTTTGTACATTTGCAGGGAAGACAACAACACTGCCCTGCAAGCCAACGTCACCATCGTAGTGTACAGTACGTAAAACGTTCATTTCTGACTCTCCCCTGAGGACCCGCCCGCCTACTCTCTTCCCACTCTGTATATATGGAATCACTCAGTCCTAGCTTCATTTGCTCTCCCAGGATTATGATCTCGAGAGCTTCCACTCCCAATGCTTTGGTGCTTAAATCAGAAAAGCGATTGTCAGGCAGCCCCTTTTCTATTCTTTCACTCCGGCGTGGAGACCGTATGCTGGGGAGCATTGTGATTTCACTTAGGTACTTTGATATCCTGTTGACCGTTTACATTTGTATGTTTTAGGAACTTAAGGTGAAGGAGCTCATCAGTATTTTGGCACGTCTAAAGACTAAATTCTTTAATCTTCTGTCTTCTTTGCCAATTTTCAGGGTTATCTTGGGCAACTTGCTGCACTCCTTGGGGTTCATTTTTCTTATCATCATAATAAAATGCTTGAGGGTGATTCTAGCTTGGTTTTCTGATATCAATGTGACCATAGCTTTCCTAGTGGGAATAACTAATTGAACTTCAGTTTAATGTGAATACCTTGTGTTCATGAAGCCCTTTTCTTACAGACACACATACATACACACATATACTAACACATGTTCTCACAAACATGTTAGTGCCCATATCCATCCTAGCACAGTTATATAAACATACTTAATATTTGCATGTGTACATGAAAACCTTAAGGCACAAATGCTAATAACTATCTGCACACAAATACTTAAAACATACAAACACACACTCTCTGGGTTTACTCTGCAGTAACAAATTTCACACTTGTGTTCAGTTCAACCCTCTGCACCCTGATTTATAAGCTAATCTATTTTAGGTCTCTCAGCCCCTGGGTCCCATATAGCCACTGGTATCAGCTGCTTTGCCTTCAGTTTCAAACAAGAAGCAACCTGAGTAAAAATAGCTTAAGAAATAAGGACAATTATCTCACACAACAAGGAATCCTGAGGTTCACAGTCCCAGGGCTGATTGACTTAGTGGATCATCAATGTCCTCTAGGAGCCAGGTTCCTTCCCCTGTTTTACTCTTACATTCTCAGTATCTTCCAAGTGTCCCTCATGCTTCCTCAGTTCTAGACCCCATATGCCAATGGTAGTGTCTTAATGCAGGAAAATATGAAAACCCCACAACCTTTATCTCTTTCTGAGTTTTAAAACTCTTTCCCAGAAGTCCCCTAGGTAATTTCTCCTTTTGTTTTATCGTTTATGAACACATTACCTGACAATGTCTAAACAATCACCTGGCAAGGAATAGGACCAACATGGCTGGCCTATTTATGTGGTTCTTAACCCGTGGGCAGTAGTCTCTCTTAGAGGTATTGGAAATGCATGGGGGCGTTTTTTCTTTGTCAGAATGACTGGGGGTTACTACTTGCATTGACTGGACAGAGCAAGAATTATAAACATTCCTCAAAGTTCAGGACAGTAGGGTACCACAAAGAATGATCTTTTTAAAAATGCCAAGAGCGTCTCCCTGCAATTCACACCGAAAAACACCAGTTTATGACAATCAAGATGGACCCCTCTGGGGCTGGAAAGGATGTGACTGCTAATGGGAAGAGTGAACATAACTGAGATTCAGTTCTACCTTCTTCTGACTCCATCCCTTTTCTTCTTTCAGAGAAACCGTTCCTCAATGTGGGCTACAGGAGAAGCCGTGTTTATGAAGTGACAGCTGGACAAAGTATGCTCAAAATGGGAGTAAAGGTGGATGCTTTTCCTCGCCCCAATGTGACTTGGTACGTAGGGTCTTCTGTCCTGGCTGTTTCTGTTTCCCAGAGTCTCTTACTTCCCACCCTTCAGAGCTGTTCTTTCAATACATCCTTAACTGAGGGCCAGTCACACAGAGGACCAAAAAAAAAAAAAAAGAAAGAAAAGAAAAGAAAAAGGAAATATACTTTAACCCCAACCCTACTTTCAGGACAGTCACAGCCTTAAGAACTAGTGCTTTATCTCCTCCTCTGCAGATTTCTTTGCTTGTTTCCTCTTTCCCTTATTGATTTCTCATGTATTTAGGAATGAGTTTTGTATTCTGAAAGGAGAGAGGGGGAGATAAGGCTGGGAAGTTAGCCAAGGCCATTGTAGAATTCCACAATCTCAGATTTGGAAGGAGTTCTGAAGGTGATTTTACCTAGTCTAATAAAGGTCCTTGAAGGGTAAGAAGTAATACAATAGAAAGAATATGGGTTTTTGAGCCAGGCAGACCTGTGTTCCAACCCTAGTTCATCAAGTTACCAAACAAGTTACTTAAACTTTCTTAGATTCAGTTTCTTTATCTGTAAAAGCTGGGTGCCAATGTCCTTATGTTATAGAATTGTCTTGAGGAATAAGTAATAAATTATTGGGTTTTTTTTAATCTCTATACTTTATTAAAGTAGTCAGTACAGAACCATCATAAGTTCTGGAGTCAGGAGTGATAGATTTGAAGCTAAGCTTTAGGAAGATTAATGTGGCCTTATGTGTGTCATATGGTTTGGAATGGAGAAATAGCTGCCAGTTAATGGGGTTCCAGCAATAGTTCAATGGGAGACAGTGTATGGCCTGCATAATCTGGAGGTAATGGGAATATATGGAATAGATTTGGGAAACATTACAGAGGTCCAATCTTCAGGATTCAGTCGCCAATCAGATGTATGAATCAAAGCCCAAGGATCAGAAGTGCTTCCTAGTTTTCAAGTTCGGTGGAATGTGAGACCGGTACTGCTATTAACAGTCTGGAGCTACATGTTGAAGCTGGAAACAGGGGAGTCATCAACTGGGAGTGGGCCAATGCACCCAGGCAGTATGCACAGAGAGAAAAGAGGCAGCATCCAGGGGAACATTTAAATTGGTGGGGTTCAGCCTTTATTACGCTATTACTGATATTTACACTATGCATATTTAGCTCATTAGCAACTCCTAGATTTCTTATCCAAAACCCCCTCTCTCCTTATTTCAGCTGTCTGATGAAGTATTTTAAGTGCTTGCTCAGTAGGGATCACATATTTAAGGGGGAAGGAAATGGAAGAAGAGTCAGTGAGGAAGAGAGAAACAATGATTAGAACAACATCCCGGAGGCTGGGGAAGAAGACCTGATCCTTGAACTCAAACACTCCAGAAGATGGGAGAGTTACGACTGCTGAGAGAAGACCACTTGCTCTTATAAAGAAGGCCATGCTAGTAAAATTAGAGAATATGATTTGGACTGAGTGTCAGGGGAAAAACATATCTGAGTTTCCAGTGTCAAAAGAATGGATGGAAAGTGAGGAAGGGGAAGCATGTGTGAGGCCACTTTCCAAAAGTTTTGACTATAAAGGAAAAAGAAGGCACAGAGTTCATTTTTAACTACCAGCCTGGCTGTACAAAGGGGCTCCAGCCTGGAAATTTTAGAGAGATGATTCTACTGTTTTACGTGTCCTTGCTGATCATGATGAAGCATAACCGAAATCCCCCTAGGGTAGAAAGTAGGATGTTCTTGAGGCCGGCACTGTACTCACCATTCCTTCCCCATTCCTCACAGGTACAAAGATGGAAAACCACTCCCAGTAAACCATACCTTTCAGCCTGACCCTCTCAAGTACAAACTCACAATCCTGGAAGTGAATGTAAAGCATGCTGGTAACTACACTTTTGCTCTGAGCAACACGAAGCATGGACTCTACAAAAACCTCACCGTACAACTGATTGTCAATGGTGAGTTGTCGGGATTTGGAATACATGCAACAATTCCAGGTTCCTGTCTCTGTTATGTTAGGGAAAAAAATTCAAAGCGAGAACGCAACAAGAACTGCCTTGGCTATGCAGGGACAGGGGTTTTGAAGGTGTTTTTTGGTCGCCAGGTGTTTTCAGATTAGCCCTCTATGCTGATGGAATTTTCAGGTCTCTTGACGAATTCACTTCCTATCATTACCTGTTACCAGAGACCCTTAAAATTGGTCTCTTCATATTGAGAAATGTAATTTGAGGAAGGGAGAGCCAAAACTCCATCTTGGTACCTGCTACTGTACAAAAAAAAGTGACTGGAAAGAGGATTACATTGCCGTCCATGCCTTATCCTATACCACTCCTGCTGATTTCCCTTGAAAGTAGAACAAAATTATATAATCAGACATTCTGAGCACAACCACCACTGTCTGCTTGATACTATCCTCGCTCCAATTTTATCTAGTGGCTTGAAAGCCAATGCGACTTAGCTAACTTATCTCCTCCCCCAAAGCAGCGCTCCACTTTAGTCTCTCTGTTTCTGCATTGTATTCCAGCAGAAGACCTTCCTGCTATTATGAACAGCTTAGCTTACCTTTCACTTACATATTGCGCTTCTGGTAAGGAGAAGGGAAGTCCATGAGAAATAAAAGCCATTCTTAGATAGACTGGTCCTTTGATTTTTTGTTTTGTTTTGTTTTGTTTTCTTTTGGCCTTATTTCATTAGAGAGGAGACTAAAATGGAGAAGCCATGCGGGTTATTTTGTGGCTCTAGGACTAGGACTCCCCATCCTTTTTCTCTGAGCCCCAAAGCTTTGCAAAGGATCAGGGGTTGGGGGAGGGAGGGACGCTTCCTAGATTCTTATTCAGCATTTTGGTTTTATACAGGTCATAGGTTATCTATGTTATTTGTTCATCCTTGCTTACTGTGCATGTTTTCTAGATTTCTCTGGGCTTTCCAATATCAAAAAAAAAAAAAGGAGGCTAATTTGAAAAACTAAAAATAGGTACCACCACTACCCTAATTGCCATGATTAGAGAATTTCTAGTCTGGACATTGGGGTAAGCACTTGGTGCCTCTTTGCCATCTCTGCTAGTCTCTCAAATCAGACTTATTCACTTGTCACCTTGGCAGTCAAGTGGGCGCATAATGAAGTAAAATTGACCCTTAGAACCTATTTTCAAATGCAGACTCTCTGACTTAAGCCCTGACTGGCCATGTGACCATAGCAGTTCCCTTCACCCTTATGATCTTGTTTTACCATCTTTAAAATAAGCCTCATGAGACCCGCCTCACAAGGCTGGCATAAAAATCACATGAGGTAAATTAAGACTCATGCTCTGCTACCTTATTTTCCTTATCTTCTATCAGAGCCTTCTGCCAAAATTGTTGAATATTACTACTTAAACAACATGTTGTAAGCACCCTGGTTCTCAAGAAATAGTTTCTGCATCAAGTAGAAACTCAGGACACAGACCATTGTCTATTCTAAGTAGTCGAGTAAATGTCAAACTCTAAAACAAAGTACAAAATTCCACACCCCTACCCATCACTATCACTTTCTCTACGTTCCCTCTGTGCCAAACCTACTCTTTGGCTCAGGATTTCACCAGTAAGATGTCTGAAGAGGAAGGAAAGATGGCAAGAAACACCCAATAATGCCTTCTCTCTGTCCTAGGGCTTCTCTGGTCAAATGCTGTGTAGTTTGTACTTTTTCAAGATCATGTTGCCTGTTTTTAATTTTTCCTTGGTTTTTTTTTCTGTCTTATGCTTCCAAGTGATGCCTTAGTGATACCTCCTTATTAGACAAACTCAATTCAGAGTTTTTCAGGGCAAAAAAAAAACAACCTAATCTCTGCTCAGGGCAGATAGGGAACTAGGGAGCTACCCAACCGCTGTGATCTCTTTTCCCAAGTCCTTACAGAATGGTCTGATGATGCTTTGTTTTCTCTTCTTATCACAGCACACACTTGCCTCTCATAGTCTGTTGATTTCGAAAGAAATAGTTGATCTGCAGGCACGGAGGGGTGGAGGTATAGGCCTGCAGTGTCTGCATTGGCTCCCTACACTATCCCTTGCTTACCTGAAAAGAAATCTGCACCACTTCATGGTCCTAAGACAATCAAACAATGAGTCTGATTTAAGCACCCATACAGACAGGGATGCACAGCCCTGCACTAGGGCTATGGGATACATGATTAAATAACTATGGTTTCTCCTTTTAACCTGTATATGAGGGGGGACCCCAAAAAACTGGAATTATCCTCTGGAGGGTGAGCCCCTTGTAGTACAGGCTTCCTGCACTAGGGGAGTGTTCTAGGAACCCAACTGTATCCATGTACCAGCTGGCGTTGTTGTGAGAGGCTGCATTTGGCTTCGGTGAATTTTGTTTTGAAGACTCTTTCTATGTGTTTTCCCATTTCACAAAGGGTGATTTATGAGCGCACCTGCCCACATTGTGCTGAATGTTCAGCAGTTTTTGACCAAAAATGGCATGACTGCTCTGCCTCACCCACCTTATTCACCGGATCTCGCCCTGAGCAGCTTTTTTGTTTGTTTGTTTCCCTGAGTGAAAAATTTCCTCAGAGAGAAACATTTTGCTGATGTGGAAAAAGTGAAACAAAAAAAAAAATAGCAGAAACACTAAAAGGCATCAAAATCGATGAGTTCCAAAACTTTTTTGGAGCACTGGAAAAAATGTCTCCATAGGTGTATTGCATCAAATGGAGAGTACTTTGAAGGTGACTGAAGTTTAAATATGTAAGAATGAATACGCTATTTTTTATAAATTCCTGGGTTTGGGAGGGCTCCCCCTTGTATACTCTAGCAGAGGAAATGAAAAGCAGCACAGCAACACAGCCTAGCAGAAGTAACCCATCATCCCAAGAGGGGAAAAATAATTCCAAATAAAAATCTAGGAAATAGGGGTCAAGAGAGAACAAACAGCTCACTTAGGGTTACCCAGCCAGTTCAAAGCACAGGATCATTTAATTCCACACCATTATCTTTTTCATTCTAAAGATGTGGGGAAAATCAGGTTTAGAGTGAGAAAGTGACTTATCCAAGGCGTCATATAGTATGTTAGAAAGCAGCCAGAACAGGGATGTAAATCTTCTCCGTTAGTAAAGTTATAGATTTAGCTGTTGTTTCAGAGACTCAAAATAACAATAACGAGACAATGTGGTGATCATTTTACAGTGTATACATATATCAGATCACTATGTTGTACACCTGACACTCATGTAATATTGTATGTCAGTTATACCTCAATAAAAATTAGCAATATTAATATAACAAAGTAAATATAATAATTTCTTAAATATGTGAAAACCCATAATTTTTTTATAAAGAACAGCCGTGACTTAAACAAGAGAATACATAACCACCCTGGTCAGTGATCCAAGATCCTTGCTGCTGTGCTATTTCTAAAGTGTTGTCATCTATATGGTCTGAGATAGCTCTCTACCAAGAAGTGGGGAAAAAGAACACATACTCTACCATTTAAGGACATGACAGGGAATTTGCACACATACCAGAACTTGGTCACATGATCACCCTAGCTGTTAAAGAGGATAAAAAACATAGTCTTTAAATAAGCAACCACATTCTGTTTTAAAGTCTATTACTATGGATGAAAGGGAAAAGAAAAAGAAAAAAACAAGAAGTCTCTGCCATATATACTGTTGCACAAATATAGTTCACAAACAAAACCCTGAGCTCTGGTCCTTATGCTTTTGTCCTTTGCTGCAATTCTTTGATTAATACTTACATTAGCTTCAGACCTGGATAGGATTGTGTTCATATTCCTAGCCTCAATGTTTCATATCACAGGAACAAAGAACAAGTAGTACTTGTTTAATCACTTGGCTGGCCCTGTCATGCTGAGTTCAGCCATGCAGGGGGACCAGAGTGCAGTGCAGAGCTGGAACTTTTGGAGCTTGTCTCCAGGGAAAGCTTTTGTCTAGGAATCAGATGGGCGGGTGCTGGGTTGTGTGGCTACATCGCAGTGGGGAAGCTACTCCTATCTTCCCTGCAAGCTTAGCCTACGCTACCTGGGGGAGAGGAAAAAGTACCCTCCCCCATCCTGCAAGCTTGAGGCACCACCCCCAACAGGAGACTGTTTGGGTACCCAGCCCCCTCCCAGTTCAGTTTCACAGGGAGAAGAGGGAGTGGCTCAGAGCTAAGACATTAGAATGTGAATGCCTTGGGGGCTGTTGTCCGGGAACAGGATGAAGTGCTTATTCCCCTCCTGGGGACTGGGCTGGCATCAGACCCAATGGGAGACTCTTAATCTGTTCCTGAGGCCAGTGGCTCTGCCCAGCTGAGCTTGCTTCTGCAGAGGATGGCTGGCTGCACCCAAGCTGAAACTGTAGCACATCCCTCTTGGGGGAACGAGAGTTGGAGGCTCAGGCAGAGACTGAGGGATTTGGCTCTGTGGTAGGGGGCACTTTTCCATTAGCTCTATCCTCATGACCCTGGTTGTCCTGCCCTACCGAATTCACAACCTGTGGAAAGGTCTGTGGGCCATGGCTAGCCTGGGCCCACTCTACAGTCTTTTTTTAGAAGAATCTGGAGGAAGACCAGACAACCTCAGGTGGAGGCAGAGTAGCCGACATGTGGAGGCAAAGCTCAGGGAGCCTTGGACATTTTACAGATCTGCCCCAGCTCTAAGCTGGGGAAAGCTGACCCCTATACATGGAATGGCCTCTCCCATGCAGACCCAGGCCCAATAGGCCCAGCCACAAACAGTGAAGAGTGTGGTAGCTCCAGACAGATAGCCCAAGGTTGGTTACATGCAACGTCTCAAACAACCTGTACTTGAATTGCGCCCTAGTGGACCTAGGCTAACAGAACTAGAGGTTGGCTTCAGACCACACCAGAGGACAACCCAACTAGCCACACAAGAGGCACACCCAAAGGGGGATTCCAGCAGGAACAAGACCCTGCTGGGAACAACTCTGTTTCAGGGAGCAGCCACTGCGCATTGACT